TGTAGCAGCAGCCTCAGCAGCAGTAGGTTTCAGTATACACAAGGGGAAAAGCAAGAATCTCCGATACAACACAGCATGCACCAATCCAATCACAATTGACGGAGAAGATTTGGAAGATGTAAAAACCTTTTTATATTTAGGGAGCATCATTAATGAACATGGTAGGTCTGATGCAGGTGTGTACGTGCGGAACGGCAAAGCTAGAGCAGCATATTCACAACTGAGGAACAACTGGAACTCGAAGCAACTGTCAAACAACATCGAGGTCGGGATTTTCAATACAAATGTCAAGACAGTTCTACTGTATGGGGCAGAAACCTGGAGAACTACGAAAGCCATCATCCAGAAAATACAGGTGTTTATTAACGGTTGTCTACGCAAAATACTTCGGATCTGTTGGACGGACACTATTAGCAACAACGTACTGTGGGAAAGAACAAACCAGATCCCAGCGGAGGAAGAAATCAGGAAGAAGCGCTGGAAGTGGATAGGACACACATTGAGGAAAGCACCCAACTGCGTCACAAGACAAGCCCTCACATGGAATCCTGAAGGTCAAAGGAAAAGAGGTAGACCAAGGAACACATTACGACGTGAAGTGAAGAAAGACATAAGAAGAATGAACAAGCATTGGACGGAACTGGAAAAGAAGGCCCAAAACAGAGTGGGTTGGAGAATGCTGATCGGCGGCCTATGCTCTATTAGGAGTAACAGGCCTAAGTGAGTAAGTAAGAAATCCACTCATTTGTAGTCGAGTGAATATTAAGTGTTGATATCGACTAAGCTTTTGTGCCACAGATGTACGTGACATGGTGTTTTAAGATGCTTTCGGCTGAATAAATTTTTACAGGACGGTAAAAAGTGAGTAGTGATCATGTGATTATCAGGGGGAGCAAAAGTTGAAATCAAGGGGAGTACAACACCCATTTTATGTCTATGATAATGGCATGAATCTTTTAAAGTAGTGGGGTAAATCCGACTGTGATGTTTTCACTGTGCAGAAGATTTGCTTGATTGCTTATACCGAGGATTTGCATGCATGGTTGTGTCGCTAATTAGACCGACAAGATTCCAAGACATTTACTGAAGGAGAAACGGACAGAGAAACATATTGAAATCATCTATAGTGGATGAACATGACCACGAGAAGAGATCTGATGATAAACCAATTCAATTTGTCTGCCGAGTATGCCAATCGTTTCATTACTGTTATCAGTTATCTCACGTGATTGTCTATTCATGATAGGAATTCATGACGATATTCAGAAGTGATTATCTAGTTGGTGTTGATTAGGTGTTAGGTAGTTGAAAATGAGCATTGTTTTTTTATGTGATTCGAAAATATCAGAAGCTTTGGCTGCTCGATTACATTACAAATTGTGATTTAAATGTATTCTTTTACTTACTGTCAATTTTGATAGTAGTCTCCAGCTCTTGTTTTCAATGCTTGCTTGACTATCAACTACGTGATAGTCCGTTCATTATGTCAATAAAGCATGATAGTGCGTTACTGTGGTGACCAGATTAACTGAACTATGTTACACGTCTTTTTAGGAGACGAACAAGATAGCAAGATTTGTAAACCCAAATACGTCTAGCAATAACGACCACGTTTGGCTCATTGGAAAATCTCAATGGTGGTTCACACAATTGTTAAATTCAAATGGTATGGAGATGATATAATTTAACGCATGTACAGAACAGACTAAGATATACGTTGGTGACGAATATAACAATTTAACCAAATTTGTGTTCGGACATGACCTATTAAACTACAGTTAAGAACATGATGAGCTTAGGGAAGAATTTTTATTAGTTGTTGCTGTTTAATCCTTGTAACATTCATAAATTTGTAACAATAATAGACGGAAGTGGGAGGTTTCTGAGAACTATAGTGTCACATGACGCCTTTAGACTTTGTGGTATTATGGTTTGGAGATATTTTGCGTCGTTATAAAAAACCTTTGCTTGAAAAACTTCCCTTCGACTTTCGTATTATTCTTCAGTTGTCTCAGAATCGTAAGAGATGGAATTCAACGTTGCACTCGTCGACAGTTTCACTCGGTGACTGGAAGATTTAGGCGAAATGTCAATCATCGGTCGTGTAAGTTTACACAGGTCTAACGACTGATGCTGTTGAACCGGTCCTTAGGGTCAATATTTTATCATACTCAATCCATTTGTGAAGCATTATTAATAACTATAATATCTGCAGTGACCTCTTGTCCAACATTGAAAAAATTACTGATGGAAGAGACAGTGGTGGATACTTTCACCAGCAGTCTGGGCAGTCACAGGGTTTGTAATAATGAATTAGAACAACACATATAAGCGAACAATTCTATTTCATAGTGATTATTGACCCATATTGCTTTGATTGGTTTAGAATTTTCGTATAAATATTCATGTATATTAGAGTAAAGCCTGATGACGATCTAATTGAAAGCAATTGTTGGCTTATATGGGTTGTTCTAATTTTAACAATGGAAATCTTTAATATTCTAATAATGAATTAACAACATCTGTTTTTCACTTCTGGTACTATACATAGTGCAGCATTGTCCAAACATGGTGTATTCATGAACGACGAATGTAAGAATTCTGATATAACAAAAAGTATCATCTGTACCACTCTGCTGATTACTTTGATAGAGGTTCTATAAGTTCACAGAATTCAACCAACAGAAGGTTTTGATTGCTCTTTTTAATCTCTACGTCTTCGAACTTGTTTTGTCAGCATTAATATGCAGGGGTACCAGAGGAATTCTCGACTTTGGGTTTGTTTGCTGAACTTGACAGCATTTCTAACCATTTTGAATATTGAAGAAGCATTTCACCTTAGCTGTATCTGAATATGGTCAAGATTTCTGACCGATGTCCTTTCACCGAGTAAGGTTTTTGAAACCTATTACCCGCCTCAATGTATAATGCCTAAAGAACTATTTGTTCTATGAATTTTTTACTTATTGTAAGTACTTTACTGCCCACAACCCGAATCATGTCAACTGAGAACATAAAAGTTACAATGGAGGTTCTCTGACAACTTTCCTTTGTTATTAGCTAAACCATGATAAATAATGCAGACGATTAAAAACTTTCATAATCTATTCAAAAATTATTAATTACTTGACTAATAACTGAGTAACTTCATTCTGATCGTGGCGCCATACCTTAATTAATTTTAACAGAATCTTTTATGCCTTGAGGGCCTTGTACATCATATTGGTTACTTGTTTCGTAAGTTTATCTACGGTCTTTATATTGCCACAGTGGTTGATAGAGACCTGCAAGATGAGAAACGTTTTGTATCTACTGATTTGTCGACTCGAATGTCCAAATGCCCTCAAAAGGCGTTAAGTCTGGGATAATCTATCTTGTCACCTGGATAAAATATTTATTTATCGCAGTGGAGAGCAAATGGAGTGGACTGAACTTTGACAAACGCACATAGGATCTGGTAATCATTCAAATAATACGAACGAAAAATATGACCACTACATGAAATAAAGAAGAACGTAAACATGAGCTCATATTCTGATGTTCATATTTGAACGACAATTTGTCACAGTTAACTACCACACCTGATCACTGTGCATTTGCAAAAAAGCATATGTTCATCTTTTTGGTGATAGAAGATCTTCGAAGCTCATGAACGTGATGCACACTTTTCCAGCTTGGCAATTTCAAGTTTTGGTATTCGGCACTTGCTGACCTCGTTTTCCAGGTTTTTATAATTTACTGATTATACTGAGTTACTGAGGCAATGAATTTTAGCTATATTGTGAATAATTAGTAATAAATTGCCTGTGAGCCATTGAAGTACTCGTTGATATAGAACCACTTAGCAAATAGCTTCTGGACGAACAGTCTAGAGTTTTATGCTCAGTCGTTCGCATAGTAAATTGGATCGTTGCTCAAGAACTATTTAGGATGATTTTTGTGCTTTTCGTGACACGACAGAATTTGGAAATGACAACAGATGAACACTGAATGCGTGGCGTAAAGGTGCCATCATTTCCGCGAGTAGGCCCTGAGTTTGATTCTATAGTTTAAAGTAGTTATGATCCTCTCAATATCATGTAAATACAAACCAACTCTTCTTCCGTTAAAACCTATTAGCAAATTGCGCAACGTTATTAGCCAGCTGTTTATGAAACTAAGGGTTGATTTACTTGAGCATCTTTGGTAGCGTACAATTTCAGCACAAACTTCATTTATCAGGAGCTTACAGTGGCTAGGTGATGGGATTAAAACACTTTATTTTAATAGTTGTTTTGATGGCTTACCTGAGCTGCTATTCCTACCAAGAGCCGGAATTGATAAAGTAAATCATACCTGTCTGGGTTATAAAAGAAAGCCTTCTAATTTGGCAGGCATTTAATTGATTTACTTCAAATGGGATCTGTTGCACCGTAAATTGAGTTCAGTGATATAGGACTGAAGATGGCACAGGTATTCAGTGTTTGACAACGCTTTAACCAGTAACACCTTCTAATATAACTTGTACCCACCAACAGAAATCAAAAGACAGAATCGAGGAGATCAGAAGTTGTATTTGACGTTTGTCAGTATATCTGAATGTCTGATCTAGTCTGGCTAGCTATTGCAGTAGATGTTGAGCACGGCGTTCCCACACGTGATCTGGTGCGGATGCATGACCGAGCGCCTTCAGCTAGGTGAGTCCATTAAGACATGTGGTCGGCATCCAATGTTGAAAACTTATAGAGCTATTTATTCTGGGGATTTATTTACCGCTACATGACTAGTAGGTAAAATAGACTGAATACAAATATGTACGTCAAACGTTTGCTTGACGTCTATATTCACTTGTATATTGTCTAGAATGTTGATAGCCTACTGGTCTTTGACACTGTTGATGTCATCACAGAAATATTTGAAATCTCCCCATAAAATAACTTTCGGTTCATTCAACTTTCAATGGTGACCTAATTTTTTCAAGGACGGGAGTCATTGAAGATCGTGGTTTTGGCGGCTTCATAATGACGGAGGTTCTACCGATTTCTTTGGTGAATTTCAATGCAGATAGTGGTTATTTAGAAGGTCTAGCACGTGGAATTAAGGGTGGACTTCTAAAGCAAGCTGATTACCACGTGCTAGTACAGTGTGAAACATTGGATGGTAGGGATTCGTCAATTATGTTTTAGTGTAATTCCAATAATCAGACCTAAAGCTCCACCTGCATGATACTGACTATGGGGAATTTCTTGCCAATGAACCTGGACCTTTGACTGTGGGGATCATTGAAGAAAGAATTCGCGAAAAGTTTGTGTCTGAGTTCCGACACATACGCAACCAAGCTGTATACCCATTATCTTTATTTTTGGATTACATCACATACAGCTATATGATTGATAATATCGTGCTTCTGATAACAGGGACTCTACATGGAAGACCGATATCCGAACTTATGACTAAATGCCACCCTCTTGGAACATTTCTGGAAATGGAAACCCTGAATATTGCAACTAACCCAGCTGAGTTATACAATGCTGTACTCGTGGACACGCCTCTAGGTATCATTCTAATCGTGGTTTTATTTTTGTAGCTCCATTCTTTATTGATTGTATTTCGGAGCAAGACTTAGATGAACTTAATATAGAGATAATACGTAACACTTTGTACAGGGTATGTTAATCTTTTTCCACAACCTAATTATGTAGGCGTATATTGAAGATTTTTATGCCTTCTGTAAGTCACTGGGTGGAATTACTGCGGAGGTGATGTGTGAGTTGTTGGCATTTGAAGCTGACAGAAGGGCGTTTATCATAACAATCAATTCATTCGGAACAGAACTCTCAAACGAAGATAGATCCAAACTTTATCCTCGCTGCGGAAAACTTAACCCTGAGGGGCTTGTTCAGCTTGCTAAGGCTAACGATTACGAACAAGTAAAATCCGTTGCAAGGTACTATTCGGTAAGTCCTTTTTAGCTCATTGCTATTTACACTGCACAAATGAACTTTGTTTAGCAGTACATAATAATTAAAACTTGTATCGATTTTTCAGATGACCGCAGGTGGTACGAACAATGTTCTTGATCTCTATAATGTATCTCTGCTATTTAGTTTTGGATTTGTAAGAGCTGCTCGATATTTGACTAGATATTATCTCAAACTTCTGGTTAACGGAATATTTATCATGTCATTCAATCGCATTTTTATGTTCGTACATCAATCTACACTTTCCTCTAGCTAGATTTAATCGCAAATGGGTTTTAGGAATCCTGTAGAAACATAATTTATACATCTAAATCACGCCTTTTACTTACCTCTGTTTATCGTCGTCCAATGGCTATCATTTCTTGATCATATCTTCACCCTCCGTCAAATGTTAGAACATCGCCATACTTATCAAAGGCCAACAATCGTAGTGTTTCTTGACATCAGGGCTGCCTTCGATTCCTTGGACAGAACTGTTCTCTGGGATTGTCTATTGAAGAAGGGTGTGCCTGAGAAGTTTATTAACATCCTAAAAGCCCTATATAAAAACACCTCAGGCAGAGTGAGGGCATACAACCACCTTTCTCCATTGTTCCATTCGAGTAGTGGGGTTAGGCAGGGTTGCCCAATCTCACCATTCCTCTTCAACTTTGCCATCGATGACATTCTGGAAACAGCTCTGATGAATGTAAGTAATGATGGTGTGGATCTGTTGCCTGGAGAAAGACTTCTCGACCTTGAGTATGCGGACGATATTGTCTTACTGTGCGATAATGCCCAAGGCATGCAATCCGCACTTAATCAGTTGGCAATCAGTGTCCGTAGGTATGGTATGTGCTTTGCATCTTCGAAGTGCAAAGTACTCCTACAAGACTGGCAGGATTCCAATCCTGTACTCGCCCGGGATGGTGGGCAGATAGACGTAGTCGAGATGTTCGTGTATCTGGGTAGCTGCATAAGTGCTGGTGGTAGTGTGGGTGATGAGATAAATGCACGTATAGTGAAAGCCAGAGCGGCTTATGCCAATCTGGGCCACCTCTGGCGCCTTTGTGATGTTAGTCTGGCTGTAAAAGGTCGAATCTACAACGCGTCGGTGAAAGCAGTTTTGCTCTATGCTTGCGAAACCTGGCCTCTCCGAGTTGAGGACGTTAGACGACTCTCTATGTTCGATCATCGTTGTCTCCGAAGGATTGCTGACATTCAGTGGCAACACCATGTCAGTAATGCAGAGGTTCGGCATCGTGTGTTCGGGCACAGAGATGATAATGCAATTGGTGTCACCATCTTGAAACACCGACTTCGGTGGCTTGGACATGTTCTCCGAATGTCGTCCCAGAGAATTCCACGTCGTGCATTATTTGCCGACTCTGGGACTGGTTGGAAGAAGCGGAGAGGTGGTCAGTGCATGATATGGTGTCGTGGCATGAAAGAAAGCTGCAAAGGACTGGCTTGTGTTGGTCCTTCACGACTCCCTGGTTGGGGTCTGAGAGATGGTGCTACACAGTGGCTAGAGACGTTATCAGATATGGCTCAGAATAGAAGCCAGTGGCGATCCTGCTGTAACCTTCTTTTACTTTCTTCATAAAAAGTGGTTCTGTCTCCCTTACCTGAAAGATTTCTTCCGATTGTACCTTTGCGTTCCCTGATTACTAGCACATTACCTTACACCAATCTCTTCGTTATTGTTCTCTCTTTTTTTTGTTGCGCTCCTTAGCTTTTTTTTCTTTCTTTGTATTCCTCTCGAATTTTCATTGTTTTGTGTGGCGCATATATATTGGCGCTCTCTTGTACCAATATTCATGTGTCCAAATAAATAAATCATTTCTTGATATTTAAACATACTGTTTTCATTATAGATCTTACGTCAAGATTATGATTCAGTACTATCCCAGACAAACCAAGAAATTTGTCATTTTCAATAATTGTTACTATCTACAACAATGCTGTAACTCATTTTTACCAATTTTATCACTATTCCGATGCTCTCCGTCCACTCAGTGGAATCTTGCGGACACTTGTGATTTGGAATGTTGTTATACTCAGATACCTATCAGTGCGTTGTAGCGTTTTAGATGTAGTTCTGAGTATATTAACTTAGCTCTTGCTAACCTCGATTTATTTCAGTCTCCGCCTTAACTTTTGACATGAGAATTAATGCATAAAATATTTGATTACAGGCAGCTGGGGTGATACTGGGATTTGCCACAGTTAAGCACAACAGTGGAGTATTTTGCATTAAGGTTTGTACATGTCTTCAACCCACAGTAGACATTATCTCCATGCTCTTAAACTCTGTGAAAAAGTACTGTGGACGTCCAAAATAGATTACCGATTGAAGTCTAACTGATGTGGGCTTTCCTCCCTCTGAATAAGTACTATGACAATGAAAATCCCAAAAAAGTAGCTACCAATTTTCACAAATTCTCAGAAAAGCAGTACCAAAATCAACAAATTGTTCAGGTGAATTGAAGTAAATAAATAATTTTAAATATAGAAAGGTAAAATTCATTAGAAGCTAATATTCCTGTATACTAGTCGGTGAGTCGAATCCGTTGTATAAAAGATGATGATGATACTGCTTAGTGGGCTAAATATCGGCAGATTAAAACCTAAATAATTCCGTCTACTGATTAAAAGTTGCAGCCTAACATTGATAAACTAGAGCTTCATAGCCTTATGAGTTTTCAAACCTTAAAAATATTTATGAGTGATGCAGAGTGCTGAAGTTTTTAGTCAGTTAGCTACAACGTAGGACCAGGCACCTATATGCATCGGTCCAAGTTGTCACAAATTATTCATTTATTTAGACACAAACATTGGTACATGGAGGCACTAAATAGGTATGCGCCACATAAATCATTCGATTTGTGTGAGGGCTGGGATACTGCCCGGGTGCCTAAACCGAAAAAGGTGGTTTACTTAGGTGGCCACATTCCGAGAATTGACCTAAAGATCTAATCCACAAGGTAGTAGAGCAACGTATGGAGATGCAGTCCCATGGCTACTGGTGGCCAACAATTGGTTCATACGCCGTTTGTTCCTTCAGGATACTGGAAAAAGAATGTACAAAGCAATTTTAGTCTCACGGTTTAAGGGAAGACAGGGAGTGTATACACCAACACCATTGTGATCGATTCGGAGCCATGTCATCCAGTCTCCACCTATTAGTTACGATGGTCACGCGGACCCCAATCAAGTAGTTTGCATCTACCAACATGGCTCAAACCAGAAGTTAGTGACTTGATGGATTATGCCACGTTTTGGTTTGGCCACACCTAAATTTCTTCCATCCATCTCCAACACTAGTCAGCATAGAGCGCCGTGGTATTCGGTGATTGGGCATACGTAATACGTTGCCCAACCACCTCAGTCGATAAATATCCACAACCTCATCAACTGGTTTGCCATCATTCCCTAATACCATGCATCTAACCTCACTATTACTTACCTTGTGATCCCAGCAGATGCGCGCAATATTTCCAAGACATTTGTGGTTAAATACTAGTAACTTGCGAATAGTCTCTACCCTTGATGGCCACGTTTCGCAGTCGAAAAGTAGAATCGAACGAAGTGCTGCACAGTATACTTGTCCTTTTATTGATAGACGGATATCTCGCATTCGCCATAGGTGACGTAAGTTGGCAAAAACTAAACGAGCTATTTAAATTCGTGCAGAGATTTCGTCAGACACCAACTCATTAGGACTGATAAGACTTCCAAGATAAGTGAAGTTGTCGACGCGTTTGACTACTTCACTCCCTATCCTTAGTTTAGGTGTTGACTCAAGTGGGTCCTAAAGTAACAACTTGTATTTAGAGGGGGAGAAACGCATTCTAAACACCCTGACATTGTTGCTCAGTGCTATCAAAAGACTCTGCATTTTATCTGAGTCTTCTAAGTCAATAAGGGGACCTCCTGGTTGGTCGATTTCCGAAAATTCAGTCGACGAGAACGTTATTTCTAGCAGTGGGTCTATGATGAAATTGAACAAAAATGGTGATAGTGGACAGCCTTGTTGGACACCACTTGAGATTACGAAATCCGATGACAGTTCTTCATAAGCTCTGACTCGGTTGGTAGTGTTCGAGTAAAGAACCCTCACAAGGTTTACGTACTTCTGAGGTACACCTTTCAATGACAGGTACTGCTACAGAACCTCTCGGTCAATGGAGTCAAGTGCTGCTTTTAAGTCGAGAAAAACTGTCATTGTTGGATGCCGATGAGCATGCCTGTGTTCTAGAACCTGGCAAATGTTGAACATGTGGTCGATTCAGCTACGACCAGGTCTGAAGCCAGCCTGCTTTCCTCTTATTTGTAGTTTACGAGTCTTAGTTAGTCGTCCGATAATTATTGAGGAGCGGCCAAACCAAAACGTGGCATCAGTGCTTGAAGTCACTAACTTCCAGTCCTAGCCGTGTTGGTGGATGCAGACTACTTGATTGGGGTCCGCGCGGCCATCGTAACTAATAGGTGGAGACTGGATGACATGGCTTCGAACCGATCACAATGGCGTCGGTGTATACACTCCCTGTCTTCCCTTAAACCATGGGATTGAAACTGGTTTGTACCTTTCTTTCTACGAACCAGTTCTTTCTTGTATTATGTTCTTATATGCAATCTTTCTTTTATATATAAAGCTGTCTGGTGTTACCTATGGCAGCTGCCTTTCCATTATCTCTTGTTTTCGTTGCCCACCACTGCTCACGGTCGTTTCTTTGTCTTTTGATTAATCTATATCTGATTTGTTCTCGCTCATCGTCATGTTCGGAGCCTGATGGGATAAGTTTACGCGAGTCTATCAGTACAATAGATGCAGCGGAAACCCATTGGTTTTTCGTAAACGTTTGGTTTAAATCACTAATAGATTTCGCTGCTGTTTCCACAGCTGTTCGTATGTATTTGCAAGCAACATCTGGGTCAACCATGTTTTCAAAATTACCTTTGTGTGATAGAAACATTGGTACAAGGGGGTACCA